TCTCATCAAAATTAGAACACAAATATTAATTATTAATAATTAAAAAACTAATGAATGTTATATATAGACTAGCAAACCCGACGAACTCCGTTTCGCCACCAGATGGTTTCGTGAGAAAGATGAAGAAATTTTTTGTTTGTTTTATATTTGAAAAGGAAAAATTTGATCAGGAAAGAAAACCCGACTTATTTTTATATATATATATATAGAAGAAGATAATCTATTTGAAATTATTTAAAATAATTGTTGATTATTTTTATTACTCGAATTTTTAATTACGGTGCATGAGGTTCCAGCAATTTGCATTAGGGCACGATGCCATGCATCACTAATTTTCTTAGCTATAAACCTTGCGGAGCCCGAGACCTTTCCAACGAATGCAAAATTGTCGAAATCGGTTCGTGCGTTCTGGAGTTATTTCGTCAGGAAGGAAAACCCGACTTATTTTTATATACATAGAAGAGAAGATAATCTATTTGCAATTATTTACAACAATTATTGATTATTTTTATTACTCGAATTTTTAATTACGGTGCGTGAAGTTCCAGCAATTTGCGTTAGGGCACGATGCCATGCACCACTAATTTTCTTAGCTATAAACCTTGCGGAGCCCGAGACCTTTCCAACGAATGCAAAATTGTCGAAATCGGTTCGTGCGTTCTGGAGTTATTTTTATATATATAGAAGATAATTATTTATTAAGATTTAATGGTATAATGGTATAAAGTACGGTATAGAAATTAGTCCAGAAAAATTGATATACAAATGATATTTCTACTATTTTTTGTTGACTGGGAGTATTACTTTAATTGTGCACATAATTTCTCTTTAAATTTTGTTCGCATTTTGGTTTTTCTGCTAGGAATTTATGGGATAATCGGTTTTAAAGTATTATCAAACACACTTTATTTTTGACAAATGTTTTGTCAAAATGACAAATTAAATACAAAATAATTCAAAATTTTCTGTCAATTGGTTCAACTACATTTCAATTCAATTCTCAATAAGAAAAGCAACAGTCGATCAGTAAATATTTATATAGGAAATTGCATCACAGTAATTGCATTATAACCAGACGGATGTGTTTCATCAGTCAAGCACTACATGGGCGCAACAAAGATATATTGATGGAATTCAAGCAAATCATGGGTGCGACACGCCGTTGGTGAATAAATTACAGATAGGAATAACAATCCACGGCAATTGAACATAGAAGTTATCGTTCATTTATCAATTACGAGCCATGTACGAAAAAATAGCTTCGAACATCCTGTTCTACAATGGACATTCCAGGTTTAGATTTTTTCAACTTGACCGAATTTATCGCCGGCACGGTTGCTGGCGGATTCGGCCTTTTTGTCGGTCAGCCATTCGATACAGTCAAGGCGCGAATGCAAGCCAGTAGGTCAACATTTTTAAGAAGCACTATTAAGCTTTACCGCAAAGAACATATACCAGGATTTTATCGCGGATTTTTCTTTCCTTTATTAAATACAGGGTTTAACAATTCTGTATTCTTTGGATTATATGGCAGCGCAATGGAACATCTTGGCGAAAATCGAAAATCTAAGGATCAACTGCTGATTGATATGAGTATTGCTTCGATGTTTGCCGGGTTTTGGCAGACAGTTGTTGCTTGCCCGGTAGATTTGATCAAAATCAGGCAACAGACTGATAAAAAAAAGCCAAAGATGGCTATAGTTGTAATAAAAGATATAATAAGAACGGATGGAATCAGGGGTCTATTCAAAGGACTAGTCGCCATGTGTTGGCGGGACGTTCCTGGATGTGCCGCTTATGTTATTGTTTATGAAAAAATTCTTCAAGCTTTCTCAGAGGACGTCAAATCGAGAACAGCTTTTCAAACTTGTATCGCTGGTGGAACCGCTGGTGTGGTGGCTTGGTTACCTGTGATTCCTTTTGACGTGGTCAAAACCAGAATTCAGGCCGATACCAAACACGAGTTCAAAGGCACTTTTCATTGTTTTAAAGTATCATATAGACAAGACGGCCTCACGGGACTTTTCCGAGGAGCTCAACTAATTGCAGTTAGAGCGTTTCCTGTAAACGCTGCTATTTTTCTCGGTTACGAAATGACAAGAAAATGGATTGGTTATTGGTTTGATTGATACTTGGCTTCACTCCGTTTGTAGTGCGATGTTTTATGTTATGTTTCTAATATTAGTTTGTTTTATTTATTTTGATAATAATATTTCATTTATACATTTTCAACGTATGACTTTTACTCTAAATGAAATGCTTAAATGTTTATATATAATATTAAATAATCTGTCTTCTGTGATAATATGAATTATGATTTTTTTTAAACCACATAATTATACATTGATAAACGAGAATTAGACATAGTTTTGATGATAGCAGCATTTTTCTATCTTATATTATAACAAAACAACTTGTCCTAAATGGATTAAGCTACAGTCGTTATATTTATGAGGAAAATTTGCTGCTGTTACTTTTGTAGCAATTTGAGTAAAATTTTAGGAAACCCTGAAGAGAACACTGATCGCGAATTCAAAATTCAAAATCCATTGAATAAACTGCTTGTAATTTCAAATAAAATTTCAATATTAGTAATTAATGCTTTATGTCTACAATTTTGCAAATATGTAAATCATAGAACAGAGCGTTGTCCGTTTTGTATTTTTTTAATAAAAAATGACAAATATGCAAAAATCCTTATGATTATGCTTTAAAAATTATTGGAGTACTTAGTTGTAATTGGTATTTTGTCTTAAAGCAAATTGCATGAACTTGTCGACATGTGTAAGCGACTTAATCAATAAGATTTCAATATATTAGTGATTATTATTAGTGATTTATAAGTATACCGATTCGCTATTTAACATTATAACGTGGGAAACTATTGCATATTATTCAATTTTGTACAATTATTTTTATTACAAATATATTGATAATACATAAGCGGAGTTCTTTCCAAAAGCTCAGCCGATTAATGCATACTTCAGTTAATTTTTATAATTAAATCACTTTTTGTAGGACTATAATATTTTGGCATGTATTAAGACCACGTACTCTCTCGCCATACAAAGTTTCATTAAAATCGTCGTTTTTTTGGCCCATCATTGTCAAAACCTAACCAGCACGATCTTTAATTGACATCTTTAATTGACATGTTTCCAGTAGTTTATGGATTTTCAAAATCGATTAGAGTCGAATTTACTAAAACGTGGACGAAAATTTTTGCACTTTTCTGCTAATTGTAATGGGCGCTACGCGCGATACGATTTTTTTTTTTTAATTTTTAAATCGGTTTTGCCATTTTTGAGAAAACGATGAAAGGTGAAAAATCGACACACATTATTTTTTCAAATTCGGTCTTATTCGATTTAGAGTGACTTGAAACGTTTAGAAAACATAATTTTATGTTGCAAATCTCGTGAAAACATAAACTTCTTATTCAGGCAGTTAATAATGATGTCGAGTAAGTTCTCGGAAGATATTCGACCTTCGTTCTAAACTCGATCTCACGGACCACCAATTGATCTGTTAGTTTATTTATTTATGTCATATCAATCGCTCAAGCAATAAGTGTTTAGTGGTTGATTGAAATGTTGAAAATTATTGAAGAAATATATTTATCATATGTTCGAAAATATATATATATATATTTTTTTTTATTTATTTATTTATATATATATACACTATTTTCATACCTCAATCAGGCAGAGGTGCCTGGTATGAGAGATTATGAAAAACAGTTTTCATATAATATACGAGGTCTGTTCAAAAAGTTTTCGTAATTTTCGTTTTTTCAAAAAAATATTTATTTATTCGTCTACATTAATGTGGTCCCCTTCAAAGTAGTCCCCCCCAGATATAATACACTTATGCCAGCGTTTTTTCCAATTTTCGAAGCACCCTTGATATTCACTTTTTGATATGTCCTTGAGCACTCTCGGCGATTTTCTTCAATCGAGGAAAACCGCCGTCCTTTCATGGGTCTCTTCAACTTTGGGAATAGGAAAAAGTCACACGGAGCCATATCTGGTGAATTTTTGCACTTTGCAACACTTTATTTCATTTTTTACGCAAAATTTAATACAAATTCTTTGACTTTTTCAATTCTTCCATTGTAAAAATCGCCGAGCTCAGAAAAACACGTCGAACCTTAGCGACTACCACAGACAAAGTAAACAGTGAATATAGCTGAAAATTTCATCATACTTTAGGGGCATGTATACCAACACAATAAAAAAAAATTTTGACAATCAGACACTCCAGACCCGCGAAATTTAATTATTAGTAATTCCGGGTACTTTTTGAACAGACCATGTATACATTTCATTTGACTATAATATCTATTTCATTAATATAATATTTATATATAATTAAAATATCTTTATATATAACTCTTCAGTCTTCTTTGTCTTCAATTTCCTTATAGTATTTTTTTATTTTTCTTTTAAATTTATCGTCATCATTGGTCATCTTAATTTCGTTTACAATTCGTTATATATTTTGCTAGCACTCCATATGACATTTTCTCTGAAATTCTTCTTTCTATTGTGTTCAATGTGAAAATTGTTGTGTTGTCTAGTGTAGTGTTCATGTATATCTTGATTTATGTCTATTGTTGCGCTTGTTTTAATTCGGTTAAATTTTATTTTGTGTATTAGTTTGCATATCTCTATTTTAATTATGTTATTTAGTGAATGATTATTTGTTTCTCTCTGTAAGTATTTGGTGGGGAAAATTATATGCTATTTTTGTGGCTTTATTCATTATTCTCTGTATGTCATTTAGGTTAGCTTTAGTTGTTTGGATCCATGTTGTTATTCCATATAAAATTATAGGTATTATTTGCGTTTTAAGAATTAGTATTTTTTTTTTTTTGCCGGAAGAGTGGATCATTTTGGTTTGGACCAAGTCCTGGTGGATTTGGCTATACATTTGGTACACAATGTTATATTTAATGTAGAATCCAAAAATAAACATTTTAAAATCCTTATTTCTTGCAGATATTTCTATTACTCTTTCTTCTGCTGTATTTCTCTTCGTACTGGCTGATTGGATGGTTTCGTCGCAAAGAGCGCGATGATTTTTACACTTGCGCCTACGACGACGATGGCGAGGCGACGGTGTACAGAATCAGCCTTTGGCTCTGCACATTCGCCCTTGCAGTCAGCGTGGGAGCAGCACTTTTACTACCTATGTCTATTGCAAGTAACGAAGTGCTGATACTGTATCCGAACAGCTATTATGTCAAGTGGCTGAACAGCTCACTGATTCAAGGTAAACGACATACAACAACAAATAAATATAAATATATAAATATTATTAACAATAATCGATATAGCACATATAACAAAATTTCAATTTTCTGAATAGCAATATGTTTTCGGGTGAAAATATCCCTTACCAGGTGCTGCATCAATAGAAATTTATCACTCTTACAGAAAATGAAATAATAAAAATTCATCATGACCAACTGTTTGGCTTACCATCTGTAAAAGCCGACGTAGTTTGTAAGGAATTTATTACAACTGCTCCTAGAACCTTTAAGTTCTGTTTGACTATATTTCGACTATAGCCCTAGCCTTCATTCAGCGAATAATTTTCTTATCCTAATACTAAAATTTTAATTACATATAATCCATGATGTGATGCTATGGTATAATATAACTATGCAATAAAAACATTAATTATATGAATGTATATTGTAACAGAATATGTGTTGGTAAACTAATTGATTATATCTTTTTTTTTATTTATCTTATAAACGGCAATCAAAACAATACAATTTTATAGGCTATGACTAGTAGTGTATGGGATCGTGCCTTGAGGCAAATTGCCGGAACTTCCCGTACCAAAAATTAAATTTTTTTAAAAACATTTAATTTTCTTTTAGAACTCTGAAAAGAAAACTATTTTTGAGATTTGTATAATTTTTGAACACATTAATTGAAAATTTGATTTTTTTTGTACTTTGAAATTTTTTGGGAATTTTGAACTTGTTTTCAAAGTAATCGCGATGCGTTAGCTGCGTAGAAACGAATATATATCTTTGAAATGGCTCGACCTGCCTCTGCCAAAAACTAATCAGCACGTCTCTTTATTAATACGAATCGAATGTTTTTTGAATTATTCAAATCGGTTAATCCGTGTTCCCGAAATCTTCGACGAAAATTTATATTTGCGCGCACGCACACGCTACATGCACATACACTATGCCAAAATGTTCAGCAGACCTTAAAGCTTAAAGCATAAAGATATGTAAAAAAATTATTTTCAAATTTTTTGCTATTACTATAACTTACCTTACTGGAAGTTAATAAGATACAAATTAAATATATAATGATAATTATTCATCAATTTTTCCAACTGATACCTAGTTATATATTTATTTGTTTATTTATTGCTGATTTATTTTATATTTTTAGCTCTCAGATACTAGCAGTCAAAATACTATCTAAAGCGATAATTTTTATGATTTTAATGTTAGATAGACTTGCTTTTGGATGATATCAATGATAATGATAAAATAAAATGATATCCCACGTCTCATTTCATATAAATGAATACGATAAAAATGCATTGCCTTTGCTTTTACGTTATCAATCTTTTTCTTATAAAAACTTATTAAAAGCAAGCCTTTAAGAAAAATTTAATATCGCTTGTTTAAGAAAATAGTTATATGATTTTGTGGTATTTGACTTAATATATATTATAGGATAATCTTCTTTATTTAAATTAAATGAATTTGAATTTAATGCAATATTTAATATTGTTCGGACATTAAACATTCTGATTTTTATTGGATTCTTTTTAATTTAGTTTATTACTGTATCAAAAAAAGTTATATGTTGTGGAATATATTTACTAAAAGCATAGTTCATGGAAAGTTTCATTAGAATTTATCTTTGATAAGTTAATGTAAATTTCCCAATTCTATTTAATCATTGATTATAGTTTTATAAATAAGTTTTTAATGATAGAATATCAGATATCAGATTGACCCAGCGCTAAGAGCAATCATTTAATTAATATGGGTATTATTTGTTTATAATTTCTGATAAAGTTTATTTATGAACAATATATAAATAAAAACTATTACGGCCAATGTTATTTTTTTCTGATCGACAGGGCCGTTCATAAAAAAATCACATTGACCGTACATATTCTAAATTTAAGTGAGTATTTGTAAAAATAATTTAAGTGTTAAATAAATTATTTTATGCAAAATTTAACATCCCTTGTGGGGATCGAACCCACGACCTTTGGATTAGAAGTCCAACGCGCTATCCGCTGCGCCAAAGGGACATACGTTGAGTAACTTTTCATACGGGAGATTAGTTTCAAATAATACAAATAAAAATTCCTTATAGGATAGAGTGTTTTAATTTATAGGTGTATCAATAATGTTATTATATATACAAGAGTAAATTTATCACGAATAATTGGTTTCTTTTTATTAATCGTTATGTCAGAAATAATATCATAAACTGATATACTGACAAAGAACATAACTTATGTTCTTTGTCAGTATATCAGTTTATGATATTATTTCAGACTTCATTCAGCACTTTAGTATAATGAAATCGGTAGATGAAAGGAAATAAATAAATAATATTCTATACAAATAATGAAAATTATAACATAATAAATAAGTCTTAGTAGTAATTAAATTTTTAGCTATTAAAATTCATGGTTTATATATTACGATTTGTTCATATGTTTATTTCATTCGCGATTATTTAAAAAAATGTGTTCAGAGAAAGAAGATATCGCTCAATCTCTTGCATATATTTTGAACGATATTTCTACCCAATTATTAATGAATGAATAAAAGTTACCTACCGTTTTTTTGTGACAAAAACTATTTCAAAAGATACAAAAATGGTTCAATTACGAGAGTACAGTCGATTACAATAGAAATGTGCCTACATGCTATTTTCAATAATTGTTTTTTGGGTTCAAGGCTTCTTAGGAGTTATTTTAGGTTTAATTAATAATTTATATATTAGTTTTAGTTTTAAGCCTTTGTCGAAGTAAATGTTGGGAAACAACCACTGAACGTTTAGTACACTTTAGAATTTGATAATATTTATTATTTCTTTGATTGTTATTCATATATTATTGATATTTTTAACTTCCTGTAGGGTAAGAAAATGAAAATTTTTATATATCTTTACGTTTCAAAGGTTTCTGAACATTTTGACAATTACAACAAATTTATATTTGTATCAATCAATACATCACTTTAAATAATTTTAGAGCAAATATTTATGGTACTGAATACATACTTAATTTGAATTAATTTTACTTATATTGGCGAAATGAACAACTGGTAAAATTTTTGTAAAGGCAGGTCCAGCGTCTCCGGAGATCTAATAAAAAAGTAAAAAGTAATGCCATTTGGCGGTACATATGTACGTCGTATCATCAAATATTTTATAAAGATTATAATAATAAATACAAAGTTTGTGTACATTTATATGGGTTCCGTACCAATGTTTACGAATTAGACGACTTCGCGGCGCTTACGCGCTTTGATATTTCGAGTCCAAACCAGCTATGCAGCACGATTGCTTAAAAAAAAATGTTCAAAATTTTAAAAAAAATTATATATAAAAAAATCAAATATTTCAAAAGTCAAATTTCAAAATTTAGTTTTTTCAAAGATTTACAAATCTTTTTTAATAATTTAGCTTTTGGTACTCGAAGTACCAGCAATTTGCCTCAAGGCACGATGATTCGCACCACTAGTTACATATTTAGACCACGAAAGGACATTTAATTTTGTCAAATCTTGCAGTTAGTTTTGACTTCTGATTTGTATTTACCTTATAATAATTCTTTTAATTTTTTACTTTTTAGGATTGTGGAACCATGTATTCTTGTTTTCAAATTTATCACTATTCGTACTTCTGCCATTTGCGTATCTGTTTGCGGAGTCTTCCGGATTCGAAGGAACGCGAAAAGGAGTTTTGGGCAGAGCTTACGAAACCGTCACAGTATTAACCTTATTGGCGGTTGTCGTTTTGGGAATTACTTATGTTATGTCGGCGTTAATTGACAAGGATAATTCTAGTATACAGACTCTACTAAGTGAGTATTTTATAAAAGTAATTTATGTACAAAAATTATTTATCATATCAGCCAATGTTGGAGGTTCCATTTTTTATATTAATTTTATTCCGCTTTTTTTTCTGCAAACAATAAACAGATTCTGCTAATAATATATGTTTGACAATATTAAATAAAAAATGGTAGCAACACCCAGCGGCGTATATGGTACTTGGAGTATAGAACATATAATAATAAAAATAACAAAAGAAAAAAAAAATCAATAAAATATAGTAAATTGATATATTCATCATATAGCAATCATCAATAAATTAGGTTTAACTGGACTAAATGAGGTGTCAATTTTCTTTTCAACGTGGTGGGTTGGCCTTTCAGGTATACTCTACTGGTCAATTAATTTTGGAGAATTAATTTTGCTGCTACATTTCTGTATTACATCAACACATTGAGAAAACTCTGTACTTAAACATGATTAATTCATTTGATTTAATAATGTGTTTATATATTGATTCACTTTTAAATTTATTATTCTAAAATTACTAAATTATTAAAATAAAATCGTTTTAAAATTACTAAAGTTATTAAAATTGTGTTTGTAATCTAATATACATCGTGCTCTCGAGGCTACACAGAATGCCTATATATTTTTTTATTATCCAGAAGGAATTAAAATAAAATATAAATATTGATGATTACTTTCATTGAGCAAGACGTTATAAAATTCTCATTCTTAATTTACAATGCTAAGCTCGTATGATATGTTATAATCAATTTATACACACATGTGCTCAGCCGGGTCGGTATGTAATATAAATATATAATTATATTTTAAGTATGAGAAAAAATAATTTCAACGGTATGTTAAGATTTCAAATATTTTAAGCTTGCGGGCAATGTTTGAAGTTCTAAATATTTATTAGTGGTACAAATATTTTTATTTGTTGTATTGGCGTATGCATGTGGTGCTTATATGGTAATTCTATAATGTTATTAATGCAAATATGTTCGTTTCAGATTTGTGGAGTTATTACTTGCCTTTTCTGTATTCGTGCATATCATTTTTGGGGGTGCTTATGTTATTAGGTAAGATTTAAGATGATTTTATTCAAATATATTATATGTTACTAAATTATCAACATATACGGTATGCCTATAAGATAAAAATTTCTTTGATTTTTTTTGTCTGAATAGTTTGGCGATCAGTTAAACACACTTAATAAGAGTAAAGAACTTAAAGAGGATAAATATTTTACCTAGTAGTAAGTTACAGAACTTTCCGATCAATACTACTCCGAGTACTTAAGCAAATGAATCGTTATAGATTATGTATATGATAAATGTACAAAAATTTTCATAACTGATGTATTTCTGATTTTATTTTAAGATTGTGATGGAAACTTAAATTTGCCTTGCATCTAACTAGTTATTGCAGTATATTGCATTTAAATCAATACTTCGGATATTATTCTGTGCTACGAATTTATTATACCATACAATTTATTACGATTACAATTAATTCTAATAATTAGTTTTAACACAGTAAATTATTTCTAATGATATATATTTAGCAATTTTCTCTAATTTTCTTCTGCGTTGTCAGTATTTTGAGTTGCAGTATTGCTGCAACTCTCGCAATTAGCAATTATCTTAGAGTTATTCTTATTTAGCAAGTCGGCTAGAAATATAAACTCTTCTGCGAATTCCTTGATGAACTTAGCTTTTCTTGGTTGTTTGGTTGTGGCTTGTTCCAAAAACTCGTCTCTTTCTTTGGGTAAGTCTAGAGCATGACAAGCTTGCGCTGAATATAATAGAGCTTTCAACTCTGTCTCTCCACCAACAGTTTCGCAAAGTTCTAACGCGTTTTTGCAATCACCGAGAGCTTTTTGCCAAAGCCCTAATTTAATTAGGGTCAAAGCTCGATTGGTATAAAGTAACGGAGAATCGCGAATTAAATCTATAGCCTGAAAAGGATTATATATTTGGTCAGATCAATTTGTATTAAAATTGATATTATTTATATTCAAATTATATATTACCTTATTGTAGCACGTAAGTGCACGTTCGTATTCGGCGCGCCTAAACGCTTTGTTTCCCTGAACCTTCAAGGTTTCAGACTTTTCTTTGCGCACCTTTTTGTCATTATAACGCCGCTTAGCATCTTTTTCTATTTCATCTTTAAATGTTTCTACTTCCATAGTAGGACCATCCTGATATATGAATGATATATAGTTTTAGTTACACTAAAAACTAAATATTTAATGGGTATTTGACTATTTGTTATACATTTTAACAAAGGATTGGTATTGTATTGCCGTATACCCGACGACATTATTTTTTTATAATTAGTTACGCACTATTTATTCAACAAATAATGCAGCATTGGTTTCTTGCATAGCTGTGTATTAAAAAACAAGCCCATAAACTTTCTTGACATCATTTAAATTATTCATAAATTAATGAATAGTAGAGTCAGCTATTAATTATATGAATATTAAAGTAACCATAATTGTTTTGTTGTACCAATTTAATTTTAAAAGAAGAGAGTATTTTGGATACAATATGTTTCCGGCACTGCTATGCTGATAACATGCTCTAATCACATTTTTTAAACAATTACTATTGTAATTAATTTTATTTAACATGCTACTCCTATACATCTACGCTTAATTAAATTGTAGGATAATAACAATAATTGGTCGTGCGTATGAGGAATTAGGAACATAAAATAAATCTTTTACTAGATAATTATCTCGACATATGTATTTTATCGTTTTTTCTAAAAGTAATTATTTTTATCAAAACGAATATATCAAAAATGAATTTATTTTATAAGATTGCAATTATCCATATCTTACTGTGGTTGCTTTTAATGCTTTCTGATTAATGAGTGTCCTGTCGTCTCGAATACGTAAAACTACTTCACCATTCTCATCACAAGTAAGATTTTTTTCAGCATCTCCTTCACCAAGATAAGCGTCTGCTTTTTTCTTGGCGATTTCTATAAGACATAATTGGATAAAAATTAGTGAAAAAAGATTGAGACAAAATATTATTTTAGGGTTAAATTTAAATTAAAAATGAATGGTTAAGTTCATGATGATAATGATAAAGCTACTAAATTGGTTGGTAACTAACTATATAAATAATAGCCTATGCAAGCATGATTATTTGCTTGAGTTGATAATAAGGTGAATGATTTATTAAGTATTTGTTTTTCAAATAAATCATTTGATAATGGATGTACAATTTTCGATAAACTTAAACTAATCAATATAAGATAAAAAATCCAAAATGAGAAGATTGAGGTTACCGTATTCATTTCGGTCACTGGAACATAGTTGTTTCACGATTGCGTTGACTTCGGTTGCTCTGTGCATGAAGTTATTAAATTCTTCATCATTCTTGGTATGTGACATTTTGATTAAAATTGTAGAAAATAATATTAAACGAAAAAGGAACTTCGAAACGCTAAAATTGTACTTCTCAAGCACTCTATTGATTACATGTATGTAACCATGGCAACGTTCAACTAAAAGTGTATATGTATTAGCATAGATAAACAAGTATAAATGTGTATTAGTCAATTAGTAATAATTGTATATATTAGTAATCGCTTTTATTAGTTAATTTTTATTTATTATTGTTTTCTTCAGTTTTATTTAGTCATTCAACTTATGTAATTGTTTATTATTTAAAATAATTTGCTTAATATTTTAAAAAATTATTAAAGTTTTTTTATAGTAAAACAAACTAGTTGTGTATGGCATCGTGCCTTAAGTTTTCAAATAGATTATTATAATATAAATACTGTAACACTGTCTAATATTTATGTATAAGAATTATATAAACTGTTAAAATTACTCATTTAAAGTATATAAGTGAGTTTTTGAACTTTAGCCAGAATTAAAATTAAAATCTCAATTATTTTCGATATACAAAAAAAATTGAAACAAAAATTTTTTGGAAAGAAAGGTTTTTTTATTAAAAGCAATTATTTTGTCAAAATTTTGAATAAATAAATTTTGAAATGTCTTATTAACAAGCAGAAAGTTTTTTGAATCATTCAAATCGGATGCTTAGTTCTCTCAAAAACTGCCATTTTTTGCACAATTAGCTTTGTATCTCCAAAACGGCTGAACCTGCCTTTGCCAAAAACTAAACACCACTGCTCCCAATCATTACAAATTGAATGTTTCTGGATCATTCGGATCAATCGGATACTCCGTTCTCTCGAAACCTTGATTCCTATTTTTTGCACTCTTTGGTCCATATATCGTAACGACTGGACCTGCCTTTGGCAAAAACTAATCAGCCCATCAGTAGGAATCGAATGTTTTTTTAACAATTCAAATCGGTCGATCCGTGCGCCCGAAAACGTGAACGAAAAAATGCAGACAGACAAAACACACACACAACCATTTTTTCTGAGGTATGGCCAAAATGTTCAGAAACCTTCAAAACGTGAAGATATCCAAAAATTTTCATTTTCGATTTTCAGCCCATTACTATAACTACCCTACGGGAAGTTAAAAATATGAATAAAATAGAACGATCAAAATTTTTTGAAATTTATATGACGAATGAAATATATTTATTGTTACATGGATAATAGTTGGAATTTATTCAAGAATTGCCGCGCATTGCTTGGCGAGTTCATGATTTTCAATCGTAAAATTAAGATTTTGACTTCTAAAATTTTATTATTCTTATAACAGTATTACGAATAATTTTTTATTTAACATATATAGTAAATATTTTTTATAAAAATATCTAGATAATCGACGTTTAGAAAATTCGTTAAGACTAATATATTATTGAAAATATTATTATTATTGTTCACCAAAAAATATTAAATTTATGGCTCGTAGCTTTGGAGAGAATACGAGGTATGGCAATTAAGTAATGAGACTAATTCCATAAAAACTGTATATTTCAAAATTATTCTACAACTCTGTCATTCCCTTCAAAGTAATCCCCTTGGGCAGCTATACAACAGTTCCAGCGCGTTTTTCATTTTTCGTAACATTTCTGGAAGGCTTAGACTGGGAGGTCTACAAGTACCCTCGTCACGTCCGCCTAGATGTTCTGAATTGACTCAAAATGGGCTTCCTTCACCACCGATTTTGTCGGCAAACTAAACAAGCCAGGGATATAGAAAATATATCAAAAAAAGAGGAAGGATACCGGGAGAAGGGAAAGGCAATTTTAAAGTCGTAGGATTACCAGAATCGCGGCAATATAATCAGTCTCATTACTTAATTGCCACACCTCGTATGTCAATTTATACCACTTACTAATTTCTGGTAAACTTTAATAAATTATCTGTTTGGAATTTGAATTTTACATTGATTAGAAATTAAATACGAATTGTTTTCAATCTGATTTGTAAAAGCTTATTTTTTCTTTTTCCAGTGTGTACACCCTTAGGTTTTGTAAGATTATTCGGAGTAGTCGGGCAATTTTTAGTCAAACCTCAATTTCTCAGGAATCTTAATGAAGAATTCTTTGCCTATTCGTTAGAGGAAGAAACCACTAGAAGAAGACTGAAACATGCCATAGATACTGGTAAAAAGTTATTAATATTATCAAAATTGCAATATTGGTATGTACTTTATATTTTTGTTATATTTTATGAATAGGTCAAGGATACCTTAGCCCTGCACCAATGGCGCCTCCTCCTTGTAGTCCAGTCATGGATGATGAATTTGACCAAACAGATTTGCCGTTGTCAAAAACATTGTTATTGAAAAATGGTTGTTTACAGCGAGGTTTGAATGAAAGGCTTTTGCAACTAACTCAGACAAGACAAATTCTCGGTAATTAAAATATTTATCATAAATTGATATTATTTCATTGTACATTTATTTTAATTATTCTTTCTTTAATAGTTGAAAAATAATTCTTTACTGGTGCTGATTTCAGATAAACAAAGGCATACATCTGCTTTACAGAGGAACCTCGTTTACCCTTTGGCGATGTTGCTTCTTTTGACTTTGACTACGATTACAGTTTTAATGGTGTTGCAAAACACTTTAGAACTGTTAATTGGAATCAAAGCACTACCCTTGAGTTCAAGGGTGAGTATTGCATAAATATCTATTTATTTAAAACGATATTGAGTGTTAAAAAAATATCATTATTCTCACAACACACCTAATGAATAAATTTCAATTAATCATGCAGACAATATTAATTATAAATCAAATAAACAATGTATTAAAATTTTAGCAATTCACTCTTGGTATAAGTTCATTATCTAAACTTGGACCTTATGGAGCCGCTTTAGAAGTTACTCTGATTCTGTATTTGTTTGCTACTTCGTCTGTGGGACTATATTCTCTACCTCTACTATCTAAAGTACGGCCCAGGCCTCGTGGAACGCCCTTATCACATGTCATAGCAAATTGTGCCTTGGTGCTGGTACTGAGTTCAGCTCTGCCTTTGCTTAGTAGAATTTTAGGTTTGCATTTATTTTATTATTTATATAAAACTAAAAGTTGTTAAAAATTAAATTTACATTTTTTATGCAATACAAGTAGCTAAATCGATTATTTTGCAAGGTGACTCTCTTTTGATAATAATAAAATAATTATTTGCGGTAGTGCCCTACAGGCCCGTGAACTGAATTAAACTGCCCGAAATTGGCTTATTTTCAATCTATATTTTCAAGGGAAAATGGATATCTCTGCTGCCCGATGTCAGATTACCAGAGCGGGGGCTTGACACGTTATTCCAATATGCCATGGAGCATCGATATCTCTCTTTTAATATAGAATTACATATAATATTTTTTATAGAATTATTACCTACCTTTAATGGTTAAATAAATAGTTTATGTGAATTTCAGCTATGTCGAATATTATAATTTTGAATAATAACGAATTACTTGGAAAAGTCAATATCAAGGAAAATCAAATCAAATAAGAAAATGCCATTAAAAAGCCTGTAATGACACTACTTATTACCGGTGATTAACTATATTTCATTTTTAACTAACCGAAGGAAAAGTTTATAGTTTTGTCCGAAAATCGTATTTGCTAATTTTGTTTTCTATACGTTTGAAGTCATTCTCATTCTTTTACCATCAATATGGAAAAAAGCAGTGTGTTTGTATGCGAGCCAAATTTGGCTATTTGCCGACATTTTCTCAAAACACACGATTTCGAGAGTTTGAAAGCCATTCATTGAAACTTGATAGTGTCAACATTTTCGCTAAGAGTTCTGAACCGATTTTGAAAATTCAAATCTTTTCGATAGATATCAGTTTAGAATCATACATATATTTTATAAGCATAGATTTAGTAAAGATTGGCCTGTTGGCTTCTTCATTGTTAAATTTTTTTGACGTCCATGGTATATATGTGCTAAAATATTATAGTCCAACAAAAGCAGTTTAATTGTTAAATTGCATTACAAATTTGAAAAATTAACTTTATTTGTAATAGTTCTGAAATTTATTATCACAATTTGGAAAATTGTTAAATTATGATTATTTAAATTGCCTTAATATAAATTCCACTTACATCTAGATTTGATTTGTTAACTACTGACTAATTCATAAAATATAAATTCAGGTGTCACAAACTTCGACCTTATGGTTGATTTTGGCGCATAGAATGGTTAGGAAA